TTAGTTAGCCTAGGTTGCTTCAGGTGAATTAGGGAATACAATTAAAATTTCATACACATACACATACACATACACACAAACACACACACACACACACACACACAAATAAACACATAAACGCCTAGTACCAGTGGATTTCACTTCGGATTTACATCACAAAGGTGTTTTCATCTTGGCTGGAGTGGACTGCAATTTTGACCTCGTCTTATACTACTATCATAAATTCCCAGTGGGATTCATATCCTCGCAACACGTCGCCACTCCCATGTACAGATTCGGTTGCCAGTGCAGCAAAAGGCAGCTATGAAGTTCAAGACGAGCCACACGGATTCTAAATTACACTTCATAGTCGACTTGTGGATACGGCCAACATGTATACTACATTCCAATCTACGAGGTTACTTAAACTCAGCAGCACAACAAATAGGAGCGAGGAGTGATGACACAAAAGTTGAACAGAAAATTATTCAAGATGGTGCTCTTCACTTGCCAATTTGATAAGTTGTAACTGTATCCAATGCAATGGCGTCTCTCATTGACAGTGCCGATGCCGACTACGATGCTGGGGAAATCTCTGAGAATGTATCAAGTCAACGGTCTGAGGCTGAAATCCATCATGAATACTTGAGGGCAGAGGACGTAGGACGGGTTACTTTTTACAAGATCCAACTTTCGTTCCGACCAAGTTGCGAAAGCGAGGTCAGACCAATACTTATTGTACTCTGAGTTTGAGCGTTTTTATCCTTGCTAGGTCGAATTTACAGTCCACTCTGGCCGGCCATAACTACCGATAGGTTCGAAAGATACAAAAACTGAGTACAAGTCTAGGCGGTTGGCGTTAAGCCGAGGCTGGCTGGGAATTTGGAGGGCATAGACCTTAATTTCGTGAAATGCTGATTCAGCAGAACGACTCGCCTGACGAGCACAGACACTAGCTTCGAATCCCATGAGGGGTGATGATGAGACCTAGACGGAGTCGCAACTGGATGAAAATACATTTTTGGAAGCAAGACTAGATACAATTCCATGGCATCGTAAGACCTACACCTAGTACTTTTGGACACTTCAACTGTCCGTTCTTTATTACTCTATATGACCTTAAATCTTAATCACGATAAAATAATAACCCCATACTACTTACTATGGATATAAGCAACGTATTCGAGTGTAAAGTAAAAGTACAAGTTTGCGTCATCGAAACGGGAGAAGCATGGTTAGCCATGAAATTCCCCTCTTTTTTGCGACCTTGTAGAAATTACACCATAATTTCCGTTTAAAATGCTGATAATACCATGGCAAGTTCGAAACTGCTGTACATTCCAGTCGAGAAACAAGGCTACGTGACATTCAATGGTATTAGGATGCCTACTTGTATAATTTTATTAGAAATTGACTCTCATAAGCTTTTCATAGACTCAAAACCTACTAACTATAAATAGCGATTGTGTTGAAACGTCAGGCCTTAGAGCTCACTTAACTGAGCCATCGTGGAAAACCCGAATTTCCGGGGCAGGCTCAAGTGTGAAACTGTATTGTGCACTCGAATTGAATAATTTTTGTATAGCCCTACTGGAATGGTTGGGAAATGTGTGACCGCTGGAGACCAGTGAAGAGGATCACTCAGCATGGCAATGACGACATGGATGCCGCCCTGTGACGTTTCGCGTATAAATCAGACGAATTTGCGTAGAGAAGAGATTTTGTGAAATTCACATAAAGTGTGGATGAAACTGTATGAGCTGGCTTTATGCACAAGTCAGAGTTAGAAATATGTCCAACAACCTATCTACTCAAGTTGCATCCTTCACCTGCCCTCTGGATATCAGTTACAAGTTAGACCTGATACAATAATCCACTCTTGGAAAGTTCGACTCTCCTCTGTCATTCAGGGCCAGCTAGCATATTCAATTTTGTTCAGCTAGTCAACAAATGAAGTGGTTGTTGCAATTCTCTAAACTTTAACTAGAGCTAAAAAAAAGCCAATATGTTTTTTCCCGAGAAATGCAGCCGTCTATTTGTGAATAGGGCTAATATGAATTCTGACTTGGAGGGACGTATCCGTCATATTTTGTAGAAATAAGAGATTTTTAAGTAACAATGTTTCTTTTCGATCTGCCATGGGCCCAGTTTTTATTTCTGTACTTCACAAAATATAATAAGATGCAAGTTGGGAGTTTTTAAGTAGTTTCTACCAAAATCAATATTAATATGATCTTAAATATCTTCATAAAGGATCTAGGCTCTTACGAGCTGCTAACCTGCCCTGAAAAAGTCAGAGTTTATTTTGGGCTGGCCATCCGATCCACGATAATTTTTTCGTAACTCCCAACTGTAGACTCCTGTTTCAGACCATACACATCTTCCAAGTCTTCAAGTAGCGCATACACTATACAGCCAGTCCAGATAGCTGAGTTTAGCTAAATTTATCGTGATTACTATTCTAATGAGACTTTCATTTCGTATAAAACTACATGATGCAAAGATGACATTAGTCGATTTGGTTGGAAGTCTACAGCTGACTGCCATCGTCTAATGAAGCTCTTCCTCATATTTTTAGTTTCTATAAGAAGTATTTCGAGAATACCAGTAGACCATGTAAATGAGATATATTCACCATATTTCGTTTCAAAAGCATGCTTATAAAAACTAAAAATAAGTAATGTAGTCGATTTCCATAGCAAATACAACTTTTATTCATCGAATATCTCTTCCGACAATATGATATGAAAAAATGCCTGGCATTCTTTGTAAGTCACATCTTTTCTGTCACCCAAAGACTCTAATGGCAGTCTGGCGTAGTAGTTAACAGATCGAGATTATGCGTTATCCAATTACGGTTTGAGTTCCGCTGAAGGTGTTGATGAAACCCAGATAAAGTGGAATGGACAGTCCACTTCTACTGGAATTAGAATAACTTTTTGGAAGTAAGGCAATGTGAAATTAAATGGAGACGTAAGGGCTACTTATAGAATTGCAGAAAAGTCAACTACCAGTCCTCTTATCACTTTAAACGAAATAGGATAAATACATTTCTTCATCATGCACATTCATGCAAGCTGAAAAACTCTCCAAAACACTTACCACTAGACGCTCCGGTCTAATGGGCAATGATCATGTGCTGTACGCAACTTACCGGCCCATGCAGCGCTTGTGCTTATCCCGATTCCAGTGACGACGATGGCGATGAAAATCGTGAGCAGCACGATCCCAGTTATAGCAATATTCAATGATGGCTTAGAGTTGCACATTTTGCCGATTCAGCATCTAATCCCCGTGGAGAAGACGCAAATGATCAACTGTACTCTGTAGAAAGACCGAGCCAAGTGAGCATGACTTGCATTGCGTGGACAGAGATGCGGAAACTTTTATGTCTCATCTGTCGACTCGGCTGGTTGCAAGGGGTGAAGAAGACTTTAAGCAAAACCATCAACATACTCTGGCACTACTTTTCTGGGAGTCTTTCAGCCTCAGTTTCTGCACTCATTCGCCAGGGCAGGTGTGAATTGGTGCAAACTGCAGACCCAGCAGCACAAGTCTTCGCACAAACTCATGTTTGTGCACTTTAATGATGCGCAGAAGAGTCTGTCTCGCCAGAATGAGTAGTCGCGCTAGCATATAATTTATCGAAAAATTATTTCGCTTTAGACGAATTATGAGATGAACATAGTTCTAGGTCGAATTAGAGAAAGAGCATACAGAGCTTTGTGTCATACCTCGTGCATAGCCTTCATTAAGGCAGGCTAAGAAAACCCCGAAATTTCTTATAGTCACTTATTTCATTTGAGACGTCAGAAGTCATAAAACGCTGGAAAATACAGCTAAATGAATTTCTATTGCCGTGATGATTAGATCTGATCTGATCCTTGGATCCGCCAGCCACAGGAATAGATCAAAGTTTATTGCTGAATGCAGGCAGAACGGAGGAATGATCGGCTGGCCAGAAGAATCGCAGTGTGAGAAGACGCTTTTGGGGCGATTACGGATTAGGAGTATTCCGCTGTATAATTTCAATTATCTATTTATCATGTAGAAGTAGTTCGAACTTCGCAACTTAGTCGTGTTGTCAAGACGATCTATTTGGCTGCAGCCTGTTCGAATTCCTCTTCAATACTAGATAGGATGTGAAACTGGGTTTCGTTGAATCTCCTGCGATAGCATTGTTGAGAGGACTTTCGTTTCGTATGAAAGTACATGAAGAAAAGATTCGTTGGTCGATCTTACCAGAAAAGAACGGATGAATGTCTTTTGGCCTTTATACGACGTTCAGGCTGACGCAGTCCACGAGACCTCCTCCCTCGTTTCGGATGAAACGGACTGAGTTTTTGTCCATCATTCGATGAAAATCATTAGAGCAGGGTCTCATTCCTGTAAAAGTCTCCCTCCCAAAAAGAGTGAGGGAACTGCATCAACCTGAACTTCGTATAAAAGCCAAACGACTGCAGTCCTCTTCTGGTGAGATCGACCTACGAATCTCTTCTTCATGCACTTTCATACAAAATGAAAGTCCCCCC